TATCAAATATGAGCAATTATTTTCACCCAAGTTAAAAGGGCGATAAAAGGAGATAAAAGATAAATAAGATTGCTCTGTCCTTTTTCAAGCCTATTACAATTTGACTACAATTTTTTTCCATTATACTGTCAAATCAATAAGGAAGTAAATGTATTTTTAATTATTATTTTTTATGAATTATTAGCAAGACAGTACTCAGAATTGAAAATATTATAAGAACTAACTAAATCTTGGCTTGTAAAAATGAAATAAAAACAGATTGAAATGTCTGAAAAACACTTTAATATATACGTAAGAATACACATCAGAATCATTTTTTCTAAAATAAACAAAATGATTCATAATTTATAATAATCACATCTCAATCATTAAAATTATATATGAATTTATATATTACCTTTGTTTAATTTTCTTGTTCGATATCAAACAAAATACATATAAGTTTTTTACGTCATTCGAGCTTGCGTCCCAACGTTAGGCAAGCCTTATGTGCGTTGGACTTATCAAGAAAACATTTATATTTTGGTCAATTATATATTTAAAAATATCACACACCAAAAAAAAAAGAGTCAAATATGGGAAATATACATAATCAACAAGTTAAGGTAATTGAATTAAAATGGATCTCTGTATTATGTATTCAAATCTAAAATATAAGGAAGTTAATTCAACTTTATCTTATGTTTGACCAAATTATGAATCTATATTAATATTACAATGTTAATAATTATAATTTGCCATATTTACATTATATTACACAAGGAAGCAAAAAAACCAAAAGAGGTAACAACTTGACAATATACTCAAGAATGAAAGAAGACTTAAATAAAAATCAGATTTTGATTATAATTCTTTTTTGACACATGTTTTGACCAATCACATGTTTACACGTCATCACCCATATTGTCATGGTCAAATTTTTTAACATTATAAAAAGACCAACATTTTCCTCAGTTTGTCACAACAATAAAAAATTATATTATTTCATTACATAAAAAGAGTGAAAAAATGAAAATGGAGTGGAGAGGTGTTTTGGTAGTTTTGTGTGTTGTTTTTTCAGTTTGTATAGCAGAAGAGAAGGAATATGTGCTAACATTAGACCATACAAATTTCACTGACACTATCACCAAACACAACTTTATTGTTGTTGAATTTTATGCACCATGGTAATTCTTTTTATTTATTTATTTATTTTATTCAGAGGCGAATCTAGGACGAGTTCTTTATAAAATTTGTGTATATACATGTGAATAGATTTGAAATGTAGAACTTTAAATTCTGAATTCGCTTTAACGTTTATATGTGTTGTGGAGGATGTTCTTTGCTTGTTTGTTGACTTTTAGGATTTTTTTTATTTTTTTATGTTGAGATGGATTTAGGGCGAGTTCTATTGCTTTTTGGGGAAAACTTATGTATACATATCAAAATGTATAACTCTAGATTTTGAATTCGCCTTTGCCTCTATGTTATGATGATTCTGAGGTTCAACTGAACTCGTGGTTTTTTTTTGGCTAAAAGTACATATATATGAAAAGATTTAAAATGTATAACTCTCTAGATTCTGAATTCACCTCTGAGTTTGTGTGTAAAGGGGTTTTTAGGATGTATCAGCAGTAAATTTTCCAATCCCTTGTCGGATCCTCCAAGAAATGTATAGCTTTTGGATGATCGGACAAACACGTGTTTATACTTTTGAAGAGTCCAAGCAAGATAGATCTCAATTACTTGAGGGGCATTTGTTTTTGAAATCTGATAAGTTCATTTTCTATGTAACAGGTGTGGACACTGCAAGAAACTTGCTCCTGAGGTACTAACTTGATCAGAATATTAATTTGATATTTTTCACATTATTTTGTTGCAAGTTATATGATTTGTGACAAAAATGTTATCTTTTTTCAGTGTGAAAAAGCTGCTTCAATTTTGAGTAGTCATGATCCTCCAATTGTTCTAGCTAAACTTGATGCAAGTGATGATTCAAGTAAAGAACTTGCTATAAAGTATGAGCTTCGAGGCTTCCCAACTATTAAGATCTTGAGAGACGGAGGAAAGGACGTTCAAGAATACAAAGGTCCTCGCGATGCAGATGGTATCGTTGCTTATTTGAAGAAACAATCTGGTCCTGCATCAGCTGAAATCAAGTCGAAAGAAGATGTTTCAAGTCTTATCGATGAGAAAAAGATCAATGTTGTAAGTGTTGTTACCTTTTATCGCGCCTCAATCATTGCTTAGTATATTGTAGATGTTGTCATGTTAAAGTAAAATCCTGGCTATGCAACTGGTTGTTGAAATGCTTGTGATTTCTTTCAGGTTGGTGTATTTCCTGAACTATCCGGGGAGGAATTTGAGAAGTTTATAACATTAGCTGAGAAACTACGAGCTGATTATGATTTTGCTTACACCGTTGATGCTAAACTACTCCCTCGGGGCAAGCCAGTTGATAAGCCAACTATTCGTCTCCTTAAGCCATTCGATGAGCTTTTTGTTGATTTTGAGGTTGTATATTCTTTCCCTTTATGATTATGTGGTTTGATATGGACCTGTTTCTTCAGTTAGAATGATACATAACGTGTATTCGTGCAGGATTTTGATGTTGATGCAGCAGAGAAGTTCATTGCAGAAGCTACTGTTCCTATTGTCACTATTTTCGATCAAGAACCAGAAAACCAAGTTTATGTTAGCAAATTCTTTAAAACTCCCAATGCAAAGGTACCCGATGGACAAGTTTATAACATGTTCATACCTTACAGAGTTAATTATTTTACTCACCATGAATTTGTGATATGCAGGTGTTGCTTTTCGTGAACTTTAGCACTGAGCTCGATGCTTTTCAGTCCAAGTATAAGGATGTCGCTGTGTCTTACAAGGGGGACGGATTGAGCTTTCTGTTGGGAGATGTTGAGGCTGGTGCAGCTGCTTTCAAAGTAAGTAACATTGTTTCAGCCTATCTGATTAGTTAATATTGGCTTTGCCAAATGACCATATAACGACACACGTTAATGTTTCATTTGATATATGGATTGCAGTACTTTGGATTGGAGCCCAAACAGGCACCTCTGATCATTATAATGGTCAATGAAGGCGAAAAGTATATCAGTACACATGTACAACCTGATGTTCTTGCTTCATGGTTGAAGGATTACAAGGTAATTTAAACGGAGAAACATGTTCAGTGAGGATTCATATAGCCTACCAAACGTAGCTGAGTATCATTTCGTTAGGAGTTTTCTGCATTTAAGTGATGGATTGCTAATTTTCCTCATTTTTTCCCTTTTTGTATGGTTGCAGGATGGTAAATTGAAGCAATTTTTTAAATCAGAACCGATCCCTGAGGTTAACAACGAGCCAGTGAAGGTGGTTGTTAGGGATACCCTACGAGACTTGGTTCTCAACTCGGGCAAAAATGGTACGTCTGTCAGTGTTAAGCACTTTGACAAATGCTCATTTCAGTGAACTAATATCTTGTTTGGATCGTTCTTTTGCTTTCCGCCCCCTAAAACAGTACTGCTAGAGTTGTATGCACCTTGGTGTGGCCACTGCAAGGCACTAGCTCCAATTTTGGATGAAGTAGCTTTGTCATTCGAAAAAGATTCTGATGTTCTGATTGCAAAACTTGTAAGTATTATGAGACTTAAATACAGTCATTATGATAAAGAATCGCGATATACTTACGTGTTTATACTGTTGTGAATCAGGATGCAACTGCAAATGACATTCCTAAAGGTGAATTTGACATTAAAGGATTCCCAACTTTGTACTTCAAATCTGCTTCTGGTAATATATCCCAGTATGAAGGTGATAGAACAAAAGAAGCCATCATCGAGTTTATTGAAAAGAATCGCGATAAGACTGCTGCTCATGACTCAGAATCTGTCAAAGCTGATTCCACTAAACCAGAATCAGTAACAACAGATTCAGCAAAAGATGAGCTATAAGTATGTAAATTCTTGTTTTTTTCGAGTGTTGTTTATAAAGATTACTGCATTTCTTCGTCTGTTGGATTTTCGATAGAATGAGCAAAGGAAAGTTCTGATGTTTTTTTGTTTTCTGATTTTCAGGTTTTTGGGATTCTTTGTCTCCATGGAGGACTCAAGTTTTGTTGTGGATTTGCTGTTTTATGTTAATGTTTTGACTTTAGGTTATATCTTTTGCACAATTTTATGTATCAGTTGTAACTGAATCTTCATTATTATTATTATTATCAAATGACAAATCCTCAACTCAACATTACTAGTTTTGAAGTTTTGTTCAATGCTTCAATGAAATTTAGCAAATGGTTAATGCATACTTGTTGAGTTGAAGTTGACTATATTGTTCAAACTCTTTAAAAATGTCATCGTGTGAATGTATTTTTGAAAAATCCGAGCAATAAAAGAAGTCGGTTGTTATTTAAAATTATCTCATGACAACTCTACATGACAAACTTCAACTTTTGCTGACTGCTGTTCTGTTTTTTTCTAAAAAAAATTCTGTTTGCTTGATGTCAATTAGCTGGTTTTATATGCATCATCTCATGTGTTTGCAATTGACTAGCAAATTGCAGTTGAGTAAACAATTTTTAAAATGACACTCTTACCCTCTCTTTTTAAATGTCTCGAAAAGAACGACACGTTCTTAAACTTTCCGTTTTTTCCTTAATGGCATGCTCTTAAAACCATATAAATGACATGACATGTTTAAGATTGCAAACTCCTTTGTAATCTCACAAAAGTTTTTTTTTTTCTTGAACTTCGTACCTGATCAAAACATCGTCATATAAGATATAACAGAGAGAGTACATGGTTTGCCTAAACTTCCTAGCCTATTTTATGCATGACAGCAATAACATAAGGGTCTATTGTTGATTGAACTCTCTAAAATATTGTTGGTCGGTTCCAACATACACTTTAGCGATATTTTTGAAGAGTCAGAGCAAATATGTTATCAATAGCTCTGCATCAGTAACAGTACTAAAGAACAGAAGTCAAAAAGGAATTTTAATTCTTAAACTAATCATGTCACTACATAAACAAAAATGAAACAAAAAAAAAAGCCCTTAAAAGAACTTTATCCTATTACAATCTACCTAGTAATTAATACTAATAACATTTGGCTAGCTCCTTAAGTAGTAATTAAGAATATTCATAACTATTAAGTACCACGTTGATCTTCTCTGTATCATTCTAATAGATCTGAATGACTAATTTCTGACAGACGTCCCCTCAGAATTTGGCTCGTCGTTTATTGTTTGACATGACCATTTATGATGAGAAACAGCAGCATCTTTCTTCTTACCCCATTCATGAATCCTCAAATGAAGTTCAGCAGCAGCAATCAAGAAATGAACACCTTGTGTTGATGTCAAAATTCTCAAAATCTCTTTAATTGTACTTAACCTTAAATCATCAGCTTTTTTCAACAAATCCAATAAACTTTCCTCTTTTTTACTAATATTTTTCTTAATTTTTTCCTCTTCATCATTAACAACTAATTGATCATCCCTCATTAATTCACTCACAACATGTGATAATTCAACCATTGATGCATCAGCTAAAGTTTCTTGAACTTTAGCTAAATTTTCACTTAGCTTTCTTTCTTCACTTATTGTCTTATGTTGTAACTCATCAATTAATACAAGTTGATTACCACTTAAATTTCCTAAATCTTTTGTGTTAAATCCTCTAATTAACTCATGAAGATTAGCTTCAAGTTGTATACCTGATTTTGAGTATAACAAATGAAAAGCCATACTAGGTCTCCATCCACCAATCCATAAAAATGCATCTTCAAGATTACTTAACCATGAGGGGTGCAACATGCCTAAAATATCACTAATAGCGTATCGTGATTTCTCTCTATAATATTCTTCATAATGTTTCACCACACTATGAATTAAAGATGACAACATCATGTCATTGTTGTTCTTGTTGTTGTTGTCGTCGTCTTTTGAGGCACGTACAAGCTGATCCAAATCTTGATTTTGTTTAACGAGCCATGATTCAAAAAACTTGTGGAATGATTTGCCATTTTCTAGCCCATTTTTGCTAGTACTCATCATGGAGAGTTGGTTTATATATCTACAATATAAATAGAGACTATCAAAAAGATGAAGTAATGGAAACTCAAAAGTTAGATAGAAATCAAAATTTGCTACTTTGGGATAGTAAGGATGAGTATTTATAGAGAGTGAAATATAACAAGATGTACCTAATGTAGATTGGATAAATATCTCTCTTTTCAACAATACAATTTTATATCGTATAATATCGCAAGTGAATATTAGGGTGCATGCAACTTAGAGAGAGGTTATTTCTGACAGACCCTTGACAAAACTAAAAACATCTTAAAACAATTTGAAAAAAAAAATTCAAATATGAAAGCAGTAACAATAAGGAAATAAAGCACCGAAAAAAGAATATAGTAACAATAATAAAGTAATGCAATAATAATCGAAGCACAAAAAAACACAGATAACAACAACAATTGACGAACGAGAAATTAAAAGCCAAATAAGTATTTAGGTACATAATACATACCGGTTTGAATATAAAAGAAAATTTGGATTTTTGGGATAAAGCTACAAGAACTTTATATTTAACATAATATAGTGATGATATATATATATATATATATATAAAAGTAAAAAAAGAAAACCAGAGTGTAAGAACCAGTGGGCTATGTGAGCAGTATTAACTAAATTATAATAAAATAATAATAATATTAAGAAATCATATTGTAAAAAGGACCGTCTACTTTAATTTATTGGGTTATGTTCATTGTTTGATCATGCATGAAGATTCAATATTTAATTTTTGTTGGCGATGTTATATTATATAAATAAATGTTGTTACATATATTATTAAATTATTAATTATGAATGAAATTCTGGACCACAACAAGTGGACATATTATGAAATTTTGCATCGAATAGTGTCAATGATGTCGTTTATATTCCACTTGTTGGGTGTTACATACTAGTATATATTCTTATAATAATCTTCATCGATCTTTATATTAATTTTCATGCATTACGATTAATTTTTAAATACATATTGTTATTTATCAATACTAGATTACTAGTAGAAGCTGAATGTCTACTTGTTATTGCCCACAAGTACAAGTAGAATTTGAACGTGGTAATTGAGCTAATTACGTGAACTTTTTGAAAATATTGAAGAAATTCAACACGAATGTAATAGCATTTTGAAGATCACATTCCATCTATTCTGATTCAAAACCTTGATTCTTAACGTTGTCATTCGGACTCTTCGATTGTTAGACCAATTGAATTTTGATGAGTAATCAAAATATTAGTGTGCAAATAATTGATAGAACCGAACTATTTTTTATAAGGCTCCAACGGTGGGCTATTTTCGTTTACTTCTGATGGGGGCAAACTTTTTTGTCTTCATCATACACAAGTTGCTCCAATTGCATGCTTCATATATTTTTAGTTTCCAAAAATAGAAACTTTTTTGTACGTCATTTATTAAACTTTTTCGAAAAGAGCTTCTACAATATTCTTGCCAATTCCTATTAAAAACATATTTCATAAAACAATTTTTGAGCAACCAAAAATATAAGAATTAATAAGAGAAGAAGAAACGGATTGAGATGTATATAAAAAATACGGTACATACTTTTAACCTAGTACTACAAACTAAACTAATTAAATGATGTATTCATTCAAGTTGCAACTTTGGGCAACTCAAACAGATACAACCAAATAATAACATGGTGGGACCCATCTTTTTATAGAAACATCTCAAAGGTACCCCTAAGTTTTCAAAATATCCTAATAGTAACTTCTTCCTTAAGGAAACAAGCACAATACCATAAAAAATTGTTTGTCCCAACCACAACTATCCAAGATATTCCAAGAGTAATATATGTCTATTGATATCTTACATAGCACTTACGATGGCCAACAACAATAATAACATACCAAGTCCATACAAAGTCCAGGGGAGGGTAGTGTGTACATAGGTTGTTTCTGATAGACCCTCGGCTTAAAAGGCCAACAACAATAATAACATACTCAGTATAATCTCACAAGTGAGGTCGGAGAGGTTAGTGTATATAAATGTTGTTTCTAACAAACCCTCGGCTCAAAAGGATAACGAACATATGTATCATAGAAAAGTAGCCATAGTATGTCATGTTGTGAACAATCATATCAACTATCTAAGTTGTTATCATACCATCCAAAACAATACCTGATCAAAGTGGGTTTTGTGCAATACTTCTTACAAATGAATAATAGATAGTACAACAAAGAATTTTTCATGTTGCAAAAGCTTTAAGAGATTTCCCTATTTGTAGAAGAAAACTGTATACTCAAAATTTACATTTGGAACTCACGTCTTGTATATTATCTCGTATCTCCTATATCTAAAAAATCTTTCACTCTCTTTAGTGTACAAAAGTTTTCCCTACTACCGGTTAGAAAAATAGAGTTAGAAAAACAAAAGAAAAGAATATGAGTAACTAAAGTTGTGTTTGTCTGAGCTGAATGAGGTCAGTCTATGGAAGTGAAAATCAAGAAAGCTGGAGAGCTATCTGCTGAAGAAGTACCTTCTTTTGAGCTGCAGTTATGAGACGTTTACATTCAGCATCCACTAGAACCTCTGTCATAATAGCAGCCGCGTGACCTCTAGGCTCGTTGGACCCTGATGCCTTCTTCAGCATGAACATCTGGAAACCGTACAGGATGAAGAGTAAGAGGCCAGATTGGAAATAACAACGAAACCTTCAATTTGAGTTTCACTCAGAAAGACAATTAACTCAGCAAGAATCTTGACAACTTCGAATAAAGTCAAGCAAGTTAGACACATTCTTGCTGAAAGTTGCAAAAGATTTTGGATCAAAGCACACAACCGGAAATTATCTTCCATGAAACACTATGTAGCAGAGAATAAATTTCAACCAGAAAATTTATGACATTTTAAATGAATTAGTGAAAATTATAGTTTGTGAATTGACCCTTCAAAGGAAGGTTTATACACATGTATCAAAAACAAAAGTGTAATATGCCTGAACTCAAAATACAAGTAGAAAGGAGAAATTTAGACACCACAACCCACTTAATGTAATTAATTGGATTGTAGTTCATGAACAATACTGATAGATCTTCAATCACCATTTACATAACTATGTCAATCAAAGAAATAACAACGCCCAGGGGTTAGTTTACAGGAAAATACCAAGCACGTATAGAGCTGGGCCACCATCGAATGTCAAAACAATTTGGGTTAAATAACTAAAAGAATAAGCTTAGATTTACAACACATTTTGTGGAGTCCAATTTATGAGTTCAGCCTTATGCAGTCTTTAAGTGCAAAAGAAGAATAAATAGATGCCAATACCATTGTATGCTCTTAAAACAAATAAAGACAGGTAAGTATCAACAACCTAACTCTTTCGTAAAGTCCTCTTGAAACTGCATAAGCAAAGAAAAGTTTTGCCATTCTTAAATCTATTGTTTCAGAAATATCCACTTGATCATAAGTCAGAAACAACCTCTCTACCTGCACGAGGCAGGGGTAAGGTATGCATACACTCTACCTCCCCATACCCCACTTTGTGGGGTTTCATTGGGTATGTTGTTTTGTTGTTATCATTAGCCAGAAATCAGGCAAGATACATACAAAAGGTTCCAAATTGTGAAATAATTAGAACCAGCTTTTACCATTTTTATACAATGTATTGTCATTCCATGTCAGGGCTTATGTTAACTCGACCGAAGAAATTTAGGTACCTGTCCATGATGCGTTATTTCTAAACAACCCGGTTGCTGTATGAAAGGCTCCCCATCAATTTGGACAGGGAAAGGACTAGAAGCATGTATCCTTACAGTCCCCCCTTGGGCTAGCCTCCTCGCTTGAGAAAGTCCAACCTAAAAGAAAAGGATTGTAAGAAGTTAAATAGTAGAAAAAGACTGAAGCAGTAATAAAGGGGGAAAACGTGAAAGAGGCAGACTTGATGAATAGATAGAAATGGAAGCACAAGGAAACTCTCCATACCTGTAGCTTGCCAAGGTGCCATGCTCCAGAAACACAAACAACTTCAAGTATTTTGTCATGCATTGACTGGTGGTTGAAGTCATCATCATGCTCGAACTCATTTTGCCACAGATCAACTCCACCCATATAGCTACCAATATTTAGCACAATTAAGCCCTCAGTATCCTGATAGATTATAAATAAGGGGATCGATTAGGAATTACAAATGTGAAAGCAAGAAGCAGTTTGACTTCCAGATTTTGCAATGTGTACCCTGGGGATCTCTATGTCCTTCCCATCAACTTCAAGCCATACTTGCCATGGCAAATCTGCACAAGTTCTGTCCATTATATCTCTAGCACCTTCTCTTGCATATCGCAATTTATTTACAAACTGTAGGAGAAGCTTGTTTAGACACACATACAACACAGACAGTACATTCCCAAATGGAATTTAATTAAAACAGAAGAAAACAAAAGCATAGTAATCTATTGACAACAAGCAATAAAAACCAATCATCTTCAAAGATGTCCATTGAACCTTTGTCCATTGTTTTTCTATATATTATTTCCCGGAGAACATATATGAGCAACTGGAAAGGTTATTCTCAAGAACATATAAATAAGCATTCTCATATATTATGTTATGAAACAACTGCAGCTCAGAGATCACTGAGGCTCAAAATGGCATGTTCATACCTGACTGTTAAACTTCTCAGGGTTTTCTTCCCTGTTCATATGAAATTGATATGCAACCTTTGCATCACATCCTATACCTGTAACAGAAAAGATTAATTTGATAGACAAAAAGGTACTTGTGACAGGACATGCAAGCAGCATTGAGAGTCATTACATTTTTTAGAGCAGTACAGGTATAAGTACTAAAAGGCAGGTCCAAGCATCACAGATAAAAATAGCAGAATGAAAGGAGCTTTTCATTGAATTCTGGGTTAGCATCATAAACCCCCTTTCCCCATCCTAGGGCAGGCAAATGGCATCCAAACACCCAAATCAAATAAGACAACAAGTCACAATATGCAAACAGATGGAAGATTACCCAAGTAATTCAGCATGAACTTTGATTGCACCTTAGGAGTGTTACAGGCAGACTTTTCTTCAAT